GGTACATGGAAGTTAACTAATGGCCTGCTAATGCAACAAACCAACTGTTTATTTAGAAACTGAAGTTACGGTCTTATGTTAAAGTTAGTGTATGATATAATACTATGGAGGTAATATGTTAAAGTAGTGTCAGAAGGTTAATAATAACGTAAAAAAGTTTGTTGTTATTGCTATTACATTTACTTAAATACCATATTTATTAATAAATATTACTTAACGGCACTAGATACACACGTCAAGAACCCGGAGATTTAAAATTGTCATTTTTTTGCACATAATTGAGCTTACATACTACTGCTCTGTATTTAAATAATCTGTAAAAATATTTAGAGAACACTATAAATATTAAGAGAGAGAAAATAGGAGGTACAGCATTGGAAGAATAAATGCAATCCCACTCCAATAACAATGCATATTGTAATGCTAATCAAGTTTTTTTTTTAGGTGAAAAGCAGCGAAAACCAACTTGTGAGTCTTCAACCTACTAAAACTGAATTTTTTTGCAATGAACTGTGGAAAGAACCACAGTACTCAGACCATAAAGGTTCATTGTGGTTCTCATTCAAATATATTACAAAAGTTTTTGGGTCCTTGATATTTGTGTTACTTACAACGTCAGAATCAAGAAGATTCGAGTCTTGAGAGAGTAGGGCGATATCATGGAAAATGTTTCATATTATTTTTGTCCTGCAAGCAATATGAAAATAAGCTGTTGTCGGCGAGATCAAGCTGAAAGAGTTGTTAGCTTAAATGGTATGACCAATGATTGCATCAGTCCGTAGTCTAAACTCCTTGCGATATATAGTTTCAGGAAAGCCTATAACATTTTACTGATTTCAGGTAGAACTATTTTAATTCGTTTGTAGTCATGGTGATTTTGTCACTTATTGTTTGATACAGATTAGATCTAAACTTAAATAGCTAGTCTTACAACAGATTTAAATTTAGACTTGAACTGTATTCAGTTGACGTCTTTATTTCATAATCGTATGCTCCCGAATTAATTGGGGAATGTAACATATATATATATCGGGAGATAGATCTTGCACTTAAATGTTATCAAAATTTATACATTATATCACTAAAGAATTCACCACATAGACGCAACTTCTTTCCAATAGATGGCCTCATTACAAATATAAATTTTTAAAAAATCTCGGTTTGTTTGGAATGTGTCTTGTATATAACATCACTGTACGTTGACAAAGGAATCATCTAAATTGAATAATATATGTGTAATTACTTGAACAGATGCATATTAGTAATTGTTTAGTATTTCTCATTATTGACTGAATAAATGTTTAAATTTTAAATATTTTGTTAAAATATCTCCTTTGAAAATCTGAATTCACTTACAACATATTCAAATTTTATCTTTTTGATCGGTTTTAATGATGAAAATTGTGTTAATGAAATGCTATTCCGAAGCAGTGACCAGGGGAAGGTGGCCAAAATTTGTCAGTTGCAAGTGCGCAACCCAACAATAACAACAGTGACAACAACTACTAGTGACTGACAGCAATAACAACAACAGAGACAAATTAGCAAAAAACTATAAAGAATTGCTGTCCATCTGGTAAATAAAATGATAATGATATTTTTCAAAAAGTCATAATCATAATACTAATGATTATAATAATAGTAATGACGAATATAATGATGATCGTGATGGAGATCGTGATGATGATTGTGTACTTGTATTTTTGTCTTTCCCTGTCTGCATTCAAAATATTTTCACCTACAATTTTAGTTCACATTTCGTTGAGTTTCGCCTATTTTCCGCGTTAATTACGCGAAAATCGGGCGGAGGGAAATATTTTAGTTTTTTTTTTCCAATAGATAATTTGCCAAATCGACTATATTTGAACAATAAACCAAAATTTTATATATTTTTAGTGTATTATAGTGTTTTAGAAAACCAAACAAACGTCAAAGTCAAGAACCAATAATTTTGAAAATAGAAAAAAATATTTGTATTTATATATATATTAAAATATCTGTTTCTGTTCTTACTTCCGCAAACGCCAGATCAATTTCACAATTTCACACACTGCAGCTTCGCCTTCGTTGAGATATTCACAAACATCCTTAACCATACCCATCAATCAATATTATTCATAAAGTAAATTACAAAATGCTTGAGGTTGATCCAATAGTCTCTAAATTGTTAATTATTATTTTGCTAAAATATTTTATATTGGACTATTAAATTGTATATCATCAATGCGAATGATAGGTAATGAATAATGGAACATTGATTTCAACTTCCTGGCGCACATATTTCCACCTATAAATACAAATATGACCTAAATGAGAAGAATTTCCAGACTACAGTGTTCTTTAAATCATCATATTGTGAGACAGAATACCTATTATTGATTATGTTTATTAATAAACATTGCAGTATTGGAACTAGTTATACCGATACGTTTGGGTAGTTAATATGAAGCGAGCCCTATGACAGGCTCTGATATGAATTCTATAATGTTCGTGCAAAATCATAGAAACAGATAACTTTTTATAATCAATGAGACAATATATGAAAAATGGCACACCAAATTCTGTTCTTATTTATCACGTCAGCTGTTCTACGCATCAGACACCATTGTGTACAAATTCCTATTATAATAGTTAATTAATGGCTCTATATGAATGTTATACGACTATACTTTTATATCAACTAACTATTGACTAATATGCCATCTAGAGATATCTACCTATCTACCTATCTATATCGATAGGTCTCTCATCAGAAATGACTTTAACCATAAAAGTGTGAATAAAAAATTTTTTATTTGTGAGGAAACGAATATATTCAAATGGTATTAGCTTACCATTTGCTCTACAGACATAATTTGTTTTTATAAGCTAAGCTATAGTTAGATCTATTTATAAAATCAAATTTTTAAGTTACTTTAAGAACACAAAAGTCAGTTCAAATAACAACTAGTATGGCATCTTAATGCTACGTATCCATTACAGAACATATATACATTACACATATATATATATATATACAACATATATATAGACTTTAGCCAAACTTTTTTATATGCGTTTTCTTTTTTACTAACATATGTATATGTGTGTTTCCAGACAAAATTCGAAAAATTATCCAATGTGAACACCTAGTAAACGACATTTGCTCACTGTTCAACATTTATTTTCTCTGAATTTTGCGTCATAGATATAGGTAAATTAATCTCGAGTGTTATATATTTCGCTCGAGGTAAATTAGTGAATCTTGATTGAAAAAGTTACCATAGATTAACCAATCGAAAACGGTTATATCTTTACGTTAATTGTCCTTTCTTAAGTAGTAAATTGCTAGATAATTCCATTGAGATTTAACGTAAATACATACGTCTGATAGTGCATATACTTCCAAATCATTGTCGGTTAGAAGACTATGCTAGGAGATTGAATTTCATCAGTGAGAAAGATAATAAAAGTTGTTCCTAACTGTTTGGTCACTACCCAGCGTATGCGCAAATTAGATTAAATCACTTTTACTTCGAGGAACTATTATGATCCATTCTAAGGAGTTCCATTATGATCACTAGTAGCAATTCATATGTAGAAAGCAAAAACATGTTAAAGTCTTTTCAATAGTTCCGTGTGAGATATTTACACAGAGTCTACACTGGCTAGACTTTCACAAGATTTTTGGTTATAAAATCAAAAACCGAATAAGTTAATAATGTTAAGGATTTATAATATTTATATTTAAAATTTAAATCAAGATAAATTAATATAACATTTAACAATTTTAAAAACAAATACGTCGTTATATTAATTGTAATATTTTAATTAATACACGGATTCATAAATGACTATAATATTGTTAACAGAACTTGATCATTATAGGTTTTGTTCTTTTTATATGGTAGTTTATTGATAAATCACTTTATTATCTTAAACATAAATAAGAAACTTCTTTCTCAAATCTTGCCAAAGCTTTGCCAGTGTAGACGCCCTGGTTAATATGTTTTTCATGCTTGGATCGTAAATACTTGCAATATCTTCCTTAATTTATTTTTAATTATAACGTAATTTATATTAACTTTTTACTATATTTAACATTATTGTTAAAATGTCTCTTTAGAAATTAATATAAATCGTTTCTTATAATTATTTTTGGTGTTTTGGTTAAAAAGTCAATTACACAATGTGGTGAAATAAAAATTTATATTCTTATATCTCTTTCATACACTTTTACCTACTTTTGATTTTTTGTTTTTGCAATCTTAAATACACCACACTTTGTGTTGAGTTTAATATATAAAAGAATTGAGCTGTGTTTTGATGCTTGTTTTATGTTTATTGCACTATAAACCTTTAAAAAAATTTAACATTACTTATTTGTTAATTATTCAGTGTTGTGTATAGTGTCGCGACATAAAAAAGTCAAAAAAAAAAAGGTTTTTGGTGTGATGTAAGTACTTTCGTGTTATCTCTTTCATGCATGTCTTCCGTTCTTTTTGTTGAAATTTTAATTTTTAATTCACCATACTACTATAATAGCTTTCATTTGCCACAGAAGCAAGTTAGGTGTTACCGGTGATACACAAAACTTTGTGTTGAGTTTAATATATAAAAGAACTGAGTTGTGCTTTGGTGTTTGTTTTATGTTTATTGCACTATAAACCTTTAAAAAAATTTAACATTACTTATTTGTTAAATATTCAGTGTTGTGTATAGTGTCGCGACATAAAAAAGTCAAAAAAAAAAGTTTGTGGTGTGATGTAAGTACTTTCGTGTTATCTCTTTCATGCATGTCCAGTTCTTTCTGTTGAAATTTTAATTTTTAATTCACCATACTACTGTACTAGCTTTCATTTGCCACAGAAGCAAGTTAAGTGTAACCGGTGATACACAAAACTTTGTGTTGAGTTTAATATATAAAAGAACTGAGTTGTGCTTTGGTGTTTGTTTTATGTTTATTGCACTATAAACCTTTAAAAAAATTTAACATTACTTATTTGTTAAATATTCAGTGTTGTGTATAGTGTCGCGACATAAAAAAGTCAAAAAAAAAAGTTTGTGGTGTGATGTAAGTACTTTCGTGTTATCTCTTTCATGCATGTCCCGTTCTTTTTGTTGAAATTTTAATTTTTAATTCACCATACTACTATACTAGCTTTCATTTGCCACAGAAGCAAGTTAAGTGTTACCGGTGATAGTTCCAATTTGTAGTTGAAGATATATATATAAATTATAATTATCAGATAAAGTTTTTGTATTGTGAGGTTAGTATGAACTTAATATTATTAATAATATTTCTATAAAAATATATAATATTTTTATTGAGGAAACTTTTCAAAGTTTAGAGAGAATATTGGATATATGATGCATAGTTTTCATATAAATCAGCTATTATAAAAAAAATTAAGTTTATCTTGGAAAACGTGGTGAAAACCGAAAATTTAACATTTCAACAAAGAGGTACGCAAAGTACAGTTCAAAAAAAAAAAATCATTTACAGATTCCCGATAAATAGGCGAATAATTCTCTTGCATTTTTTTAATATTTGCATATAAAACGTTTTATAATTACAACGAAATGGATTCGTAAGTTACTTTATAAAACGTGGTTAATCATATTTTAATTAAATTTTTTATTAGTGAGAAAAAAATAAAGTCCAAAGGGGAAGTACAGGCTGTTGCAGTTGTAACTAAAGACACACTACGTGAAGATATGTGGAAAAAATTTGCAGATCTAAATTATTACAAGACATGCATGTTGCAGAATAAGACCATACCACATTTTGTGAACAATGACGTGGCTGCAAATCTGCTAGCTAATACGCCCGAATTCGAGAAGGCAAAACATATTAAAGTGAATATGGATAGTGCTCTGCGTCCTGTTACGATGAAAGTCTTATTTTCTAATAAGAATTTATATTTGCCCGCAACTCGTCAATCTAATGCCCTTGTTTTCAAGGTAGATATGGCCGATACTGCGAAAAAAGATAAAAAGAACTTTCTACGTGCCAAGTATCTTAAAAATTATCGTACGGAAGTTTTTTCTGAACAACATATTAAACTTGATATGGTTATTATTGGTGCTTTAGTGGTATCACGTGACGGCTATCATATTGGGCGTGGCTCAGGCTTTCATGATTTGGAACTAGGTATGCTTTTTGAGATTGGAGCTATTACACCAAAAACCGAAGTGGTGACTGTTGTGCACGATATTCAAGTAGTAAAAAGTTTACCACATCATTTGTTTCAAAAATATGATGTTCCAGTTGATATAATTATCACAAACACAAAAGTTATACGTATACGTAAGCCGCTGCCACGCCCTATTGGTATATATTGGGATTTGCTGACACAATCTTGTGTAGATAATAATCTCAAACTAAAGGCTATATATGACCAGTTAGTTAAAAATGGATTTGAAATTTCTCTTAAATCCGAGGATGTAAAAGCTATATCTGAAGCAGAGGAAGAGAAGAGCGGATTTGAAATAAGTGATAAGCAAAGTGATGATACTGTTAATACAGGTGAACATGTAACAAGTACTAATACTGCAAACAATGACACTGTGTCCACTGATTTCGTAAGTACTATTACTACGAGTGCATACGTTGCAAGTACTAAAACTGCAAACAACAATACAATGTGTACTAATTTCACAAATGCTAATACCGCAAGTGCACGTGCTGCAAGTACTAACATTGCAAACAAAAATGCTGTGTATACTAAATTGGCAAGTACTAATACTGCAGGTACTAATGTTGCAAATACTAATACTATAAATAGAAATATTGTGTATACTAAATTGGCAAGTGCTAATATTATAGGTACTAATGTTGCAAGTACTTATATTGCAAACGAAAATGCTGTGCATACTAAATTGGCAAATACTAATGTTGCAAGTACTAATCCTGCAAATGCTGTGCATACTAAATTTGCAAGTCCACATGTTTCACGTGCTAATACCGCAAACAGAAATGCTGTGTATACTAAATTGGCAAATACTAATACTGCAGGCACTAATGTCGCAAGTACTTATACTGCAAATAGAAATGCTGTGTGTACTAAATTCTCAGGTCCCAATATTGCAAGTGCTAATATCGCAAACAAAAATGCCTTGTGTACTAAATTCGCAGGTGCTGATTCCAAGAATCCACATGTTCCAAATGCTAATGCTGTGCGTACTAAATTCACAAGTACTAATACCGTACGCCCACATGTTGCCAATGCTAATACTTCAAACAGAAATGTTGTGTATGCTAAATTTGCACGTACTAATGCTCCAAATACTAACGTCGCAAGTATTTATACTGCAAACAGAAATGCTGTGTGTACTAAATTTGTAAGTACTAATACTACAAGTGTTAATACTGCAAACAAAAATGTTGCTAGTACTAACACTACAAGTATTAATGTCGCAAGTACTAATACTGTTTGTACTAAATTCGCAAATGGTAATATTGTAAGTACTAATACTGCAAACAAAAATGCTGTGTATACTAAATTCACAAGTACTACTACTAAATTTGCGAACAGTGCACCTAAGACTAGATATCGTTCCACTGGTGACATTTGCGTCGAATTAATTAACATTGGTAGTAATCTGTGTAATCGTTATCTTAAGGAAGAATTAATTAAACGTGGAATATGTCCCGCTTCCATAGTTTGGAAAGGCAAGTAATATTCTTAAAGTTACATATTTTTACTAAATCGAATTTTCTATTTATCAACTAAAATATGATATATTCATTTAGCTCACAAAACTGGATGTTTTCTACATTTCTGCAAATCAGACGGGCCTTGCACTCAAGATGACATTGATAAGATCCTTAAAGTATTAGAAGACCTTTCATTGGCGGTTAATGTTAATGGTGTAATAAAAAACTGTAAAGTTGCTCCTAAGAAACGTCGTTACAATACTAAGAAGTATACAAAATAAAAAAACATATCTATACACATATATATATTATGTAACTTGCATTTATATTAACGTATATATCGATATATATATCGATATATATATATATAAATATAAAAAGAAATCGTAAAGTAAATTATATATAATGATTTGCTTAAATTTTTGAATAAATGTTGTGAATAAATAAATAGGTAATAAAAACTTTAATTGCAAAATGTTTTCAATAATACTTTATTTATGTTCTTATGGAAAAGGTTAAGGCAAATAACCTTATATGGCATACCCATTTAATATAATTAATTCTGCAAATATGAAGATATAGACACTATATACATTTTTTATATCAAGTACATATTATATATATTATAGATATTTAACATATGCAGTATATATAGAGCAATATATATAGTATAGCATAATATGTTATATATAGTACACATATAATATATATACATTATAATATTATGTATATTATATTATATTATATATATAATATATATGTGATTATATTATGTAATTATATCCTAATATTATATTACATATATTATATATAATTATACATTGGAGTAAAAAATAGTTTAAAGAGTATTTAAAATAAATAATACAAATTTGAGAAACATAAATAAAAACAGAAGGTGTGGATTTGGAAAGAAAGTGCAAAAACAGATAATTGTTTTCCAAGAAGTAGAGATATTATTATAGTTATATACATATGTTTATAAATGACAGAGACATTACTCGTCAACCGGCACAAACACTTGTCAGAAGGCATAATTTTTGCCTAATATGGCAAAAGTCATAGTACTGGTGTCTGTAAGTATTGGCATGATCGGTAAAGATTGTAATGTAACACCTTGGAATATTAATCGTTGCTTTTGCGTTCTCGAAATCACATTCTTTAGATTTTATTAGATTGAGAATGTTTTTAGTAGATTTTTACAAACAAGAAGTTTACATTGGAGGTTTTTTTAATTAGAAGGTAGCGCTTCAATAAATGCAAATTAAATTAAAGTAAACAAAAATTTTTTTATTTTATTTTTTTCATAAAAAATACATCAATTCTCAAGGTTATAAAGTTATACATCTGTTTATATTGAAATTAATATCTATTTCAATGCTTTTGTTAAATAAAAGATTCAACTTGTAAATATAATACGTTATATTTTGAAAGAAATCAATCTTAATAGAATTATGGCATAGATCTTTAGAAGTACTCTATTTTATTATGATGGTTAAAATTTTATTTTATATTAAAACCAGGGCTTCGAATCGAAAAAAAACCAATATTTTTATTGGAGCGAAAACTGGAACCGAACCGGAACGGGAAAAATTCTGGCTCGAAGCCCTGATTAAAACTGAAGTTTCTTTCATTTCTATGTTAGTGTTTTTGATAAATTTAATCTATTGCACTATCTTAGGATTTAATTCCCGCCAATGAGATACTGTATTTGTAATAATTTTATGAAATTTTATGTAATAATAAATTGAAAGAAATTTTATTTTACTGTTTGATATTATTGTATTAAATATTCAAAATTATTGATTACTATTATTTTAATAAAGTTTCTAGTTCTATTAGATGTGCTCATCCGAAAACTGAAATAATTTTCTGTTGTTGAGCGTTTTTAGTTATACAAGTAAAATAAAGATTCACGTTCTTCCGGGATATCATTTGAATAAAATTATAATCTTCCTGATAATAAATTGCCATTATGTAATAAATATATATCAAGTCATAAGTTTTGTCTTTAAATGATAGTTTAGTAAAATATTAAATTAATAAGCATATTGGACAGCGGCATATAAGTGCTATATTATAGTTTTATAGTGAATGCAGAGTGAACTGTGATGACTGGTTTTCGCTACGAATGATAATGATTACTAGATTATTTTGTAAGGTATTGAAGAGGACGTCGTAGATTTCATAAAGTCTATATATATTTATGATCAGATTATCGAACCAAGTTTATTAAGCCCTGTTCAGCTATCTGTTTCAGTTCAAATTAGATCCTCATGTTTTGAATTATTGAAATGAAACTTAGCACACATGATTTTTGGAGTGGACTTTGATAATTCGTCGGATGGGATGACATCGTACTGCGTAGGCTATAATAGCACGTATAGACTAAACAAACGGATATGAGTTTAGTTATTAATAAAGATATTCAATTAACAGTTAATACCAAGTTTACTTATATTCATAATGAGTATGCATGAAATAGTCAGATAGAAATTTTTACACTTGTCCCATAACATAAATAATGAAATTAGAAAATATAATCAATAAAAAGTAATCTCACTCATGCAGGCTTAGCTTGAAACAAAGAAGATGCTAGACGTTAGTTATGTTGAACCTTTTCGTAGTTAGTGCGTCTGGGCACTTTTACTCTATGATGGCTGGGGGTTTCTGCAAAGTCCCATCCATCTCACTGACTAATTTGAGTATTTCCCATAATCTTCGTGATTATTCAATGATTGATCTAAGGTCTGCGTACCGCCTCATGCGGTTAGTGATAGTAGAGCATCCTGTCGGTTTTCGCATATAGCTTCAGAGCTCTGTTCCTTATGTATTTTTTGACCGGATGTATTCTAAGGTCTCTTAGCATGTCAATGGTGCGGACATACCATGGCACATTGAAGAGCCTTCGAAGAGCCTGACTTTGGGTAACTTGTAGCTTTTAGATAGTAGAGTCGTCAGCTTTGCTATACGCGACACACCCATAAAATAGTGCTGGTCTAATTACTGGCTATAGATCAGCTCTCTGTTCTTCGCGCTAAGGTTGTTGTTTTTGAAAAGTGGTTGTAAGCAGTGCAGTGTTTTTGCACAACTACTTCTTTTGTCTGGTGTGTGCTTGTGACAAAAGAATTCGCTTATCAAACGTGATTCCGAAGTATTTAATGTTATTTTTCCAATTAATCGCGATGTCACCAACTCTCACTCTCGGTGGATGTTGCCTGTGTTTACGAGTAATAAATGGGGCTTTAGTTTTCTCACTGTGAGTGTCTTAAACAATATGGATTAAATGACAATCCTTATTGAGATTGATAAGTTTATTATTCAACTACAATTAATAGACTGAGATATATCGAATCCATTTGTTGAATCCTTAACATATTGAAAAGGAGTATGGAATATAGTTTATTGTTAATAAAATGTAGTAAGAATTTTTTTTTAAAAAAAACTCTTTTTTTGCTATAAAATTTTTTTTTAATGTCTTATTATATAAAAATATATGTAATATTTTATGTTTTCTAAATGAATTATCTGTTGACAGCATATGTTAGTTTTATGTTTGAATTGTGCGAATGAGTAGTCAAAAAATATTTTTGCCAATTTTTTCCATATTTATTATATTTTAAAACTGTTTCAAGAAACATACTCATATTTTCACACTATATATAAATAGTGCAAAACATTTTAATCACTAACAATTGATTTATATTCTTTTTATTTTTAGCAAATAGTATGATTTAAAATGTACTAATTAGAAATTTATGAACTACTAAACTTATATGATTTAATGTTAAGAAAATGCTTAAAATAGCATTTACGAGTAGCAGTAAAAAAAATTTTAACACTTAGTCATCCTATAAGAAAATATACAAGAAATATATATAGACATAGATTTATACTAATAAAAATATAATGATATAATTATATAAGATAGATATATTTAGACCGCATGGATATTTATTGAACCCACAAATGGAAATTAATATTTTTATAAATAAATATAAAGATATTGTTAAAGGTTTAAGAGAAAAAAAAATTTCATAAAAATATGTATTTTAGAAAAGTTAGCTATTTTAAGCAACTTTTTTCCACTGCGGTTCAGTTCGCTATAGCTTTTTGCGATATCTTGACACCTACTCAATATTCCAAAAATTGACAAATTAGTTGCAATATCAATCTCATTTATTGCTACCTAGATTTATTGCTACGTAGATTTCGATGAGTCGTGAATTTAATTGTTAAAAGTTAACAATGATTGACACCATACAATGATAACTTTATTAAAAACATAACTTCAACTTCTTTCACGTTCATCATGGATTGTTCACTATTTGTTTCAACTTCGTCCAAACAGAGCCTTGCTATACAACAATATCATATTTGATATAGTACATATATTGTAACCTGTTACCATAAGTATTAAAAATGGTTCAAGCTCATTCGTATTTAGAGAATGATTTTCGTATTTTCTAATACATTCCACAATTTTACAGAAGATTTCAGTGATATGCAGACATATCTTCAAATTTTTGAAAGAACAGAAAGTGAACAAGCTTCTGGAAGTTAAATGTGATACAATATCTTCCCATAAATGCAGGTTTTCCAACGACTGGATCTTTACAATAGAAAAATTATATCGTAGTTCGCCTGATGTACAAGTCATAACACAATACCATATCATTATTACTTGGAAGTACTTCTGATAACTTGGTGAATATTGTTATTCTTACTTCTATGTTGGAACCTTAAGTCAAGGAGCAAACTTAACCGTGCAACGCATTGAATTCATTTAGTATATATTATTCATGACCTGATTGAGATAACACCTCTAATTCTTTCATTGAATTTCCTTTTATGGTCACAAGCGACATAAAAAAACTTTCTCGAAGAGGTTATTATGAGCTTCGGAAAGAGAAAGAAATCACACAAGACTATGGTAGATGATCACATTCGATCGAGTGGTTGTGCGAAATCCATCACATTTCTTGAGCTTTTTCCAATAACCCTTGCAAAATGATGGTAATAATTAGAGACCTAGTATACGATATCGCTCAAATATCGTATGGCAATACTAACTTAAAATGATATCAACTTAAGGAAAAACAATTATGATGGTATCTATAAGATGCATTTTTTCAATTAAAAATTCCGAAAAATTGTTGCACAAAGCTAATATTTATAGTTTTTCTTAAAATTTTTTTTTATTAAGAAATAAAATTTGGTTGTAGATCTCTCATTTCTTAAGTGATATTCAAAACCCTCCAAGAAGCACATCTTCGACAATTTATCCGTAAAATGC